GACACCTTGTGGTCACACAGGCTAGTGTGCTTCTTCCATGTGGGCTTTGTTGCTTCTGAGCTAGATGGCCGCTTGTTTATCTTCAAGCCTTTAAGACCCTAGATGCTATGTGTTTTGATAGCCAGGCACCATCATCTTTCTTCACCACATTTGCTTATGCACATATTTGTCTTCAGTGATTGTGTCGAGAAGGTATGCATCATGGAATGATGCTGTTAATTCAACACACCCTTAGGCCTTGTCCATCTGAGCATCATGAGATCTAACCAGCATGACATCTAAGTGGCTTACAGCAAGATGTGACCGTTTTGAGTGAGGCAAAACAGGTGCTTATAGCAAGACTAAAGCAGAATGTTTTAACCATTCCTGAACAATCAGATTCTATCAACTGTGTGGGTCATCCACAAAATAAAATGGTATCTGTGCAATAAAATAAAGGGAGAAATGCGTATTTCCTGGTTAATCAGTTCAGTAACACATTATCATCTGAACAACTTACTGCAAAGTGGTTCTACAGCCTTTTCATCTTACTACTGTTATGTGAGAGACTTTAAGAATCCAAGCCTAGGAATTTTCAATTGCCTCATATACTGTCACAGTTGGACATTGAATAAAGAAGAACAAAGAAGAATGGATGCATTTGAACTGTGGTGCTGGAGAAGGATATTGAAAGTACCATGGACTGCTAAAAAGACAGACTGTCTTGGAAGAACTATGGCCAGAGTGCTCGTTACAGGCAAGGATAGCAAGAAATCATATTACATACTTAGGACAAACTCTTATTGTCAGGAGAGACTAGTCCCTGGAGAAGGACATCTTGTTAGGTAAAGTAGACAGGCAGCGAAAAGAGGGAGTCGCTGGAGGAGATGGAAGGACATTGCGCTCAACCACAGGAGCAATTTTATAGTCGGTGCAGGACAGGCAGTGTTTCTGGCTGTTGTGAATTGTCAGTATGAGTCTGAACTGACTCGATGGCACCTAACAACAACAGTTTTTGAAATCACAGCTTATGCTTATAAACATCACATTTACTGATCATTGCGTGCATTTATCTCAAAGTAATATGTGGCACTAAACAGAGTTTAGCATTTTGCTCCAAGAATATATTTTAAATGTATATGTGTGTTGGATATCATTAATTCAGTTCCAACTCAGAGCGACCTACAGGCCACCCTCAGGATTTTTGCCATGGTTAAGCCTCTACAGCAGCGGTTCTCAACCTGTGGGTTGAGACCCCTTTGGGGGTCCAATGACCCTTTCCCAGGGGTCACCCAATTCATAACAGTATCAAATTTACAGTTATGAAGTAGCAACGAAAATAATTTTAGGGTTAGGGGTGACCACAACATGAGGAATTGTATTAAAGGGTCACGGCATTAGGAAGGTTGAGAACCACTGCTCTACAGGCACTGTGTAAATTCTTCTTCTTGAGGGTGTTTCCTTTTTTTTGCTGACCCTCCACTTTTCCAAGCATCATTACCTGTTCCAAGGACTGGTCCCACCTGACAACATGCACGAAGTATGTGCTATGAAGCCATCCTTGCAAATAAGGAACACGCCGACTGAAATTCTTCCTACACTGATTTCGTTGGCTTTCTACCAGGCCACGGTACTTTCAGTGGTGTTTGCCAGCACCGTAATTCAAATGCATCGATTCTTCTTCAGTCCTCCTTAGCCATTGTCTAGCCTTCACATGTGAGAAAGCATCATAGCAGCTACCTCTGACCTCCTTTGGTGACACAGGCGAAAGAGAACCCAACTCCACACCAACCCAAGACCACTAGCCAGAAGACAGAGGTCAGACGCGCCTCCTTCCTTCTTTACCCTCTTTTATCACCAGCAGTTCCTCCTGCGGCACTCTACTTCTGTGCTGGGTTCAAGAGTCCATTGCAATGGTGACACAGAGCCCACAGACAATGCTCATGATTTGGGGGCTTTACTAGGGATGCTAACAGGCTACCATAAGCCAGAAAACGTACACAGTAAGTATACACTATTTGGTCCACAGCAGCACTTCTCTGCAGTCAGAAACCAAGTCTTTCTCGGCTCCTAATCCTCAGCCATGTTGTTCCTTGGCATCTCCCTCTCTGGGGGTAAGAAGTCTGCCCTCTGCTCAGCTTCACAGTCTGCTCATCTCAGCATGGCATCTCTGCTCTACCTCATGGTCTCATTGCCTGTCCTCTGGTCTCTGCATGGCTTGGCCTTACTGCAGCTGCACTTCAGGCAGGTATTATGAACATGTTCTGCTGGGGGCTCTTCTTTCTGATGGTCCCCAAGAATTCTCCTCTGCTTCTGAGATACCTCATTCTTATAGCCACTAATGCTCTCTATAAATGTTTCACACACTCTATTTGCATGATCCTACCCACTCATTTGGTGGGAGTCACAAAGATATGAATAGCAGAGATAGATTAAGAGATTTCACTTCGCCATGGCATGCATATGAAACAATAAAAGTACCGCTGTCCTCGTGTTTGCTCTTCAGCACTTTGAAGCGGTCTTGCGTAGCAGGTTTGACCAATGCAATACGTGGGATCCAAATATCCCATTGCCATTGATGTTGTTGAAATAAAGTATTTACACTGAAGGAGTGAGTCATTTATTTTGCAAAATTCTATCGTGTGATCTCCATGTTTATCACCAATTCTATATTTTCCAAACTCAATAATTAGTAATACATCTTGCTTAAATAATCGGTCACTTTCAGCTTGAAGAAATTGGTAGAAATGGAAGAATTCTTCAATTTCTTCATCACTAACTTTAGTGTTTTGTGCACAAATTTGAATGATATCAACTACAGTTCCTTTTAAGTGTATAGATATTACCTATCACAGACAGCATTGAATTTAAAGTTAGATCAAAATATTATTTTTGTGATGACTGTGATACTGTTAAATGAAATATCAATACCTAATATTTACCACCTATCAATTTGTAATATTATGTGCTGTCTTTCATGTAGGTGTGCTACTGGAAGCTGTGACATTGGTATTTCAGATACTATCAGGGCCACCCACAGAGGACAGGTTACAGTGAGACTTCCAGGATAAGGGATATTAGGAAGAAAGACCTAGAAATATACTTCCAAAAATTAATTCATCAATTTCTATTTATCACAGCACAATATTGTTTGACATCATGCGATAAGATAAGTTTCCTAGACACTGTGCAATAGACTAAAAGATGAACTCCAAAATACTAATGATCATGAAGATGATACAGAATCAGGGAACCTTTGGCTCTGTAATCCAAAAGGATATCCTAGTTGGAGCTGAGCAGATATAACTAAAGCCAACAAGAGTGCAAAGTGTATTTGCTATTAGCCAAGTTGGTCTTGAAATGATTTAAAACTATTTTTTCATTCAGTATACTCATTTCAATATTCACCTAACGATGTATATATTAAAATTCTATAAAGCATTTACTAGGTGTCAGTATGCATAACGTGAGCATAGTGCAGGACAGGGCAGTATTGCATTTGGTTGTGGATAAGGTCACTATGGGTCCGAACCTACTTGATGGCACCAGACAACAACAACATTCATGAAGTACCATGTGCAGCTCACTGGGGAAGTTTTTTAACTATGTAAAATAAAAGTTTTATTCTCAATTTCAGTATCAGCAAATTAGGATTCCCTATCCAAATATTGCCCGCCATCTGTTTTTGTTAAAAAGAATTATTGGAACACAGCAGTACACATTCATTGACGTATTCTGCATGAGTACTTTCCTACTACAACTTCAGGATTTAGTAGGTCAGAGACAGATCAGGTGGTCCACAAACCCAGACAGCTGACCATTTTCACAAAAGGTGCTTTACTATCTACCAATAGCGTTGATCATGTTTTGGACTGTGAAGGAAGCACAGAGGTCACATGCGACCTCCTAGGCTACACCAGGCAGAAAGAGCCTCCAGCTCCCCGTCAGCTCTGGGCCTGTTGCCAAGAGGCAGAGGTCAGACGTGCCTGGAGCCAACACCCTTCTTTATCCTATCCTGACACAACTGTTCCTGCCACGGCACTCTACTCTTGGTGGTTTAATAGATAAGTTAACAGTTACCATCAATCCGGATCAGCAAACACTAAAGATACATACAGTACTCGGCCCACAGCAACACCAGTTCTCATCCAGGAGCCAAGTCTTTTGTCTAGTCTTCAGCCTCTAAACCAGCTGTTCTCAACCTGTGGTTGGTGACCCCTTGGGAGGGGGGTTGAATGACTCTTTCACAGGGGTCGCCCAATTCATCACAGTAGCAAAATGACAGTTATGAAGTAGCAAAGAAAATCATTTTATGGTTGCGGGGGGTGGGGTGGGGGTCACCACAACATGAGGAACTGTATGGAAGGGTGGCAGTATTAGGAAGGTTGAGAACCACTGCTCTAAGCCATGTGGTACTTTGGCCTCTGTCTCCGTAGGACAGTAAACCAGCCAGCCAGCTGCTCTGCCGCACAATCTCATTGTCTCAGCACTACTCTAACTTATCCTATCTATTTATTTGAACATTGTCTATTTAAATGATTTATGTGGATTTGTAATTTTGAGGATATGACTTGTTTTTCCAAACATCAAAATTATGTAATGTCCTAAAAGTGCATATTTTTCTTATGGATAATGAAGCTTTTCTTCCTTTTTCCTTTAAGCAGATGTCATTGTTTATATTGCACCTACTTAAAAAAACCAAATAGCAATATTGGGATACTTAATTACTTAGTGAAACAAGTTATAATGCAAATCTTCACACATGAATCCTTTTTGAACAGTGCATTTTTCTTCTAGTATGTGTTTTAAAATAAATGGAAAATGTTGTGCTCTCATTGTAAAATGGAATTCATATTCACGGTTAGCTAACATATGCATAGCTCAACCCCAGTATTGTCTTCCACTACTCTTATCCTCTTTGTAATCAACTCCCATAAGGAATAATCATAAAAATAATAACTCTAGAAATAACTCAGTATTTTTATTACACTAGCCGATTCATTTTTTATTCTTGTTGTAGAGTGACTGTGCAAACTTCGTGCGGGTTTTGCATCACTATAACCGAACACATCTCCTGACCTGCGGCACTGGGGCCTTTGAGCCGCTCTGTGCCTTCATCAGAGTTGGGAATCACTTGGAGGTAAGATCGTCTCACCCATGATTTCAACTCAATTAATGCTTGAAACAACGTTGTTTGAAGAGAAAGGTCGTGATATTTCTACTTAGGAAAAATTAAATCATTGTGAGGTCCTGATTTCCTTTGCTTGAGACAAAAATTATCTTTGCGAGCCATTAAAAATACTGGCCAGCTATGACGTCTAGAAACAAATTCTTTATGTATCCATTCATTGAACAAATATAAAGACCTATCTTTTTCCCATTTACCAAATATTGTTCAATAGTAAACTCTTTTCTCTGTTGTGCTCTTATTCATGTCTTCATTAGTTTGAAGAGCTATACCTGCTATGGATCAAATTGTCATCCACAGTGATATGTTCTGATAAGCCCCACACCCATCCCTCATCCCTGTGAATATGAAATAGGATCTTTGAAGATGTCAAGAATTAACATGGGATCATATTGGATTAGGACACATTAATGCAATATGAGTGAAACCCGTAGAGACCCAGGGGGAGGAAATTCCAGGTGAAGACGGATGTAGAGACTGTAGTTGTACAGCTACACGCCAAAGAGGACCAGAAGCGGAGGGAAGGACCTTCCTTTCTCTGGTTGCTTCAGAAAAAGGGAACCTGAACCTGCTTGTAAGCCAACTGGTTTTCGGTACTTTACTGCACCAGCCCTAGGAAGCTAATACACTAGAATTTAAAATTTATCTGAACCAGGTGAGGTTGTGATGGTCAAAGGAGGGTAGGAGAAAGATTCCAAACTGACTTAAAGTCAATCTTAATGTAAATGGGGGAAGATCTGTATGCCTCCACCATTAAAAGATGGAGTGTAAGGAAGGCAAGTTCCACACTGAGTCTGCCACACATACTATTTACCCACACGCAGGTTAAAAAGTAGTCTTAAAACCTGTTCTTCCATACTGGGTGAATTCTCAGCTTTTATTTTGGGCACCATTTAGAGCACTGTGAAATATATGAAATACATTCTATTCAGATGTCAGGATCTTTGAACTTTTATTCAGACTGGCAGGCAGACTGCCACATTAATATATGGTCATTGTGAGTCGGACTCTACCTGAGGGCATGGTGGTCACGTTTCCCTGTGCTGATAGAGTTTTAGTAAATTATTCTGGTCACTGGTATTCATTAGTCATTTTAGGCCCAAGTTGAACCCCAAAGAGGCAGTCAAATGAAAGATGCATTCTAAAATAAATCTTATTAAAAACATAATATATATTAAATATTTGAAATTATACTTTTGTGAGCTAAAACAATTTTTAATTGGTATTTTGATCTTGTTCAATTAAAAAAAATAATAATAACTCAATGCTATCAAGTAAATTCTGACTCATAGTGACCCTATAGAACAGAGTAGAATTGCCCCTATAAATTTCTGAGACTGTAACTCTTCATGGGATTGAAAACCTAGTTCCCCCCCTCCCTAGGGGCCAATGGTCTCTACCTGATAATCCTGCAGTTAGCAGCCGGAAACACAACACAATTCTATCATGTAGTACATGAGTTTTTCTCTTTTTAATCCATGCTGGTCTTTCACGTCTTCTCCCATTTTCTGATTTTATTTTAGCTTCTATTACAATACTATAGTTCTTATTGTTTTGTGTAATATAGAACTTTTTGAAGAATTTTTATTATCAGGGATGATTTTATCCCAAATTCTTTGTTTTTTCCTTTTTCTTATAACCACTATCTTGTACTAAACTGAGATCCGTCCCATTTCTCATTTTTTGTATAAAATTAGTCTTCTTGAGCTTTTAGGAGAGCTGGATGAATCAGGATAGATATTCTACCATCATATCTGAGAGTTTATCATTTTGTTTTGTGGAGTGTTATAAATATGGCTATATTAATATTATTGCTATTTTTTTTAAAACCGTGTTTATGCTCCCTTGACAATTTGGATCCTCCACCCAGCAGTTTCTTCTTTGGAGGGAGATGTGCTGGTTAATGTTGAGAGTCTATACAGCTACATCCCTCACACAACCCCCTTGTTACCTAAACCTATCCCATTGCCATACAGTTTGTTCCAGCTCATGGTGACAATACAGGTCAGATTAAAACGACCCTGTCTAGGCCTGTAATGTAATGGAAGCTAATTGAAGCATCTTTCTCATGCATAACAGCTGATGGTTCTAATCAGTGACATTTCTGTTAACATCAAGGTGCTTAACTTCTGCACTACCAGAGCTCATCAGACCACTTATAATACCAGTAAATTGAATTAACAACAACAAAACTCACCTCAGGCCCAACTGCAGGTGAAAAGCAGTGCTTTCCTATTAGGCAGCACTCGTAGAAATGTGGGCGTTTGCTCTTCTTAAGTTAGAGAAGCTGTGGTTGCTTCCTGGCTTTCTTCCTGCAAGATGGTGATGTGCCACGTGTTTTCTAGCCACCAGGCCTACCTGCTGGTGCTCGGGACCCACGGACGTACCTGACAGTCAGTTTTGTTGTCGGTGTTGCCGATGTGGTCTTGGGTTTGCGTTGCTGATTGATCCATTTGTTTGTAGAGAATGGAAATGTTTGTCTCCACTGCTAATCTCCCAGAATCTTAAAAGTATCTTTTAAATAATAACCCCAAATCCCACTGCCAGTGAGTTGATTCTGATTTATAGCCACCCTAAAGGTTTGCAGAGGCAGGATACAACTGCCTCTGTTGATTTCTGAACTGTGATTTCCCCCCCCCCCCCACTGAGGGCAGAAATGTTCCTTTTACTCTCATGGGGCTGCTGGTGGGTTTGAACTGATGACCTTGCAGTTAGCAACCCAACGTGCAACCCACTAAGCCACCAGGGTTCCTTTTAAATAGGAAGTGCTACACAAAAATGCTACTAGTGTATGTGAACTTTGAATGTGAAAAATGAAATTATTTACACTACCAAAAAGAAAAAGCGAACATAGTAGCTATCAAAATATACCAATCCTTCTTTCCAAAGAAGACAAGTTATGAAAAATTAAATAACTAAGCTATTTCAAAGCTCATTATAACATTGTATAAAGAGTTCTTATTTTTTAAGTAGCATTGAAGCAATAATAGCCATCTTTCGAAGGACGGTATGCCTCGTGTTCACCAGGCAATCAGTCATGTCTCTTTATTTCAATTGGACAGATACTTTTCTGTGCCACCGCCAGGGAAAGGCACTGTTAAAAATCCCGGAGGCAAAAAATGATGGACACTGCACTTTCCCAGGGACCTTGCAGCCTATTATTTTGTGATTTTTAAAAGCCCCAGGCTTGTTTTAAAATGTCTCACGATAGAGGCTCTTCTCCCCTGTCCGTTCTAATAGGCAAAGCTGGGTAAGCGATTTCCTGGTAAGAAGGAAAACAGGACTCCCGGGCTAGATGTAGCTGAGAATAATTACATTCAAGCTACCAGAATGGAACAGGCTTAACAAACTCCAAGTTCACCTCATTGTTTCTCACCATCTCTGCGTGTGAGGCGCATACAAGTCACCTCACTGGCCTGCACCACAGGCGTGAGTCGAAAGAGAAGGTGCTGACAGGAGTGGGGGCCTGCGTATGTGTCTGGGCTGCTTTCCTGTTGGGCCTGGGGAGTGAGGAGTCAGCAGAGGCTGATGTTAGACCAGAACTGTAAGCAATTAAAGAACCATCGGCCGAATCCCCAGAGAGCGGTGAGCTCTGCTAGGAGGAATTTGTTCTCTACGTAACGAAATATGACTCTATGGAAGAGATCTACAAACTAAAAAGTGGAAGTGGCCGATTGCCAATATTTTGTTCATCTCTCGTCCTAGACACTTCTTAATAAAAACAGATCTGTGTGTATTCTTCCAAGTCCGTGTGAGCGCTTGTCTGGGTGTGCAATCGTGTTAACAGAGAGGAATCAATGTGAATTTCTGAGTTTGCTTCTTTTGGATAGTTAAGTATAGCTTAATATATACCCAAAATATATCACTGAGAGCCATATATGTGTGTGTGTTTATACATAGGTAGGTAGGTAGCTTAGGACCTAATAATTTTTATCACATTAATTTAAATATCTGCCTAGTAGTTCCAAGCAGCAAAGGACAATCCTGTGTTGAATTAAGTGATTTCATTTTAAATGGTTAATCCTGAGACTACCGTGAACTAGCAAGAGTAGAAAGAGCCTGGTGCATGGAGGGACTGGGACCTCAAGGGAAATGAGCTACTCCTGGCTGCGGCCCAGCAAGCCTTCAGGTCTCCTCAGTTTGATCAGACGTTATAAATTGGCAGCCAGATGCCCGATTCAGCTCACAGATGGGCTTTGTGTGTCACAGAGCGTGTTTCTTGTTTGTTTTCTTTTAAAGAGCCTACATTTAAAAACCAGTAGGCTTCACAAAGTGAATTGTGATTTCCATTGGGCGCGCATGAAAAGACTCAGCTGGTGCTGAGTCGTCGCTGCCCGATCCAGCACGGGGGCGTGTGCGCCAGTGTTCCTCAGCGCCCTCGCTCACACAGCGTACGCTAGATGCGGCCTCTCTGCCAGTTCACCACGTCCACCTGGCATAGCAGGCATGTCCCTTTGTTACCTCTGCACCAGCAGGAGAATGAACTCGCTCAAAACTTTGGAGTGCTTCACATCTCGTTGGTAAAAACCGTGGGATAAAATCAATGAGTAATTAAATGAATGGGTTTGTTGCATTCAGAAGTTTGCTTGACTGGTCTTTAAAACCTAAGTGAGCTTAAAGACCGACACATTCTTGAAATACGCAGTTGTTCTTTTTAAAAATATATATAAAATGCATACAGCAAAGGGTACATGATGAGTTTTCGCAAATTGAACCTACTGGTTACATTGGTTAGGTGATCGGCTGCAGGTTTGGTGGTTCCAACCTGCCAGTCTCTGTGAAGGATAAAGATCTACCGTCTCAGAAACCCCTCATGAGATCTCCAAGAGCCAGGAGAGGGAGTCCTGCTTTAGGGGTTATGCAGCAGGCTGCTAACTGCAATGTCAGCGGTTCGAATCCACTAGTCACTCCTCCGGACAAAGATGATGCTTCCCACTCGCATAAAGAATTAC